GTTATAGCTTTCTTCACTGCTCCTTCAGGAGGGTTTGGGATTCCACTGGCGATCAGTTCTGCTTCTTTTGCATGCAGTAGTTTGGCGTAGTCATCTTGTGACCACTCGAAGATGCAACTGGACAGTTGTGTCATGAATGTGGCATACAGGGGGTGTGCCTCACTGGTGCAACCAACAGCAATACGCCGCATGTAGTGACAGATGTCCAGGCGAACTTCGAGGCCTTCCCACTCAGAGAACACCAACTGGAACCTTGACGGGCCGCTGACAGCACAACAGTCCCTATCGGTGTATAGAAGAACTGGAGGGTCTTGGCCTGCAGGTAGATTAAAACACCCCATTAAGATAACGAACTGAAATTTTCTGGAAATAAGTTCCAGTGTTTTCTCCAAATCAGTGGAGAACACAGTGACATTGTGGTTAGGATCCCTATAACATACAATGATAGCCACTTTGGAGTGTGATCTAGGGCTTATAGAACATACAAGAATTTCACTGGATAATGGTTCGAGCTCAGACAGACGCTGAGCTTTTAGGTTCTGAAAGGATGGTCCACCGAGAAGACTTTTGCATTATGCTCGATGAGAGGAAAGGGCATCCTGTCTACATGCATGCAGGGTCCACTACCATTATCGCAGCTTGTACCCAAAGCATATGCCAAATGGCACATGGTGTTCTGTCTGTCATATCTTCACAGTGTCTCCATCGCTGAGGCCGCTAACTTTTAAGCGAAATGGAAATTACTATTCAGCATTTTACCAAGTTCATTCAAGAACTTTGCATCCTTGTTGATACTGGGATCTGCTGTATCAGTAGGCAAAGCGATATGTCCTGAGGATATTGTCCTACTACATTCTGGTACTGGTACAGGGGCTGTGCCTTCATCTTTAGCCTGGCCCTTGGACTCAACCTTATGGATGAACTCCGGATCCAGCTCCCCGTCTTCTGTGTCCAGAAGCTCACACCCTTCATCCACAGGATCCTGGCTTGACCGACTCCCTCGGGTTGTGTTATGGTGGGAAGGAGGTCCCTGATGGTTTTGGGTGGCTTCTCTGATGTGGCATTTCGTAATGAAGAGACAGAGCTTGGAACAGCTCGTCCCGAACGTCCTCACTTCCATTCAAGTCATTGGAAATATAGGTCTCCTTCAGTAGAAAGAAAGTTTATTGCAAATACTCGCCCGAGGGCTAATTGCAGTTACAAACAACATAGAAAGAAAATCCAGTGGTATGTGAGACTATATCTACTTCTAACATTGTACTATATTCTATTCATTTAAACAGACTGTGGCTTAGCAAAGTCATGATGGTTTATCTGTAGCGCAAATTTTGCCAGTAGTGTCACGTCACTAAAATACAATATGAATATAAATATGAATAAAACAATATAAATAAAACAATCATGGCGCTGCGCCCCTGTTGCCCCCGTTAGAACTAACATTTTCCCTAGCAGATATTATGATTGAAATTATTTAATATTTTCTGACTTTTTTGACAGCTATCTACCACTGTCTTCAGTAAAAACAGCAAACCTTCCGTCATATCTCCTTATATAGAGAATCAAAATCTGATTGCCAGCCTTACCTATGGGCGTAGGAAAGGGGCAAACTGCGTACAAGGCATTTTACCTAATTGTTTATTCACTCACAGACACATACCTTTTAAATAGGTCAGAAAAGTTTCAGTTGACACTTTTTTGACAGAGACTCGGGCACAGGTTGTTGTTGTTCTTGTAGGGTGTGTCAGCCTCCTTCTGTAGCTGTAGCTGACAAACAACCCAAGATCGGTCTTACGTAAATGGTGGAGTTAATTGTCTGAAGCTGGCTATTTGAATAACATTAATATCTATGATTACGATGAAAATTCTAATCATGATGCAGGTCCAGAGATGCATATTTACTTGTTTTCGTAACCTGTTACGGGACAATCATCAACTATGTGGTCTTTTAAGTTCCCAACACGGGCATTGAACCCCCCCCCCCAGACTATAACCTCACCATGGCAACTGTATAAAGCAATTTCTTCCTCTAAAATATCGAAGACATCATATGTTCTGTTAGCATGGACTGTAGATCGGTTAGGACTGATGTATGCTAGATAAATATCTTTGTCAGTACTTAGAAGCTGTTTGTCAATTTTCACCCATAAGATATCTTCAGTTTTGCTTTCTAATTTTCAGACGAATTTGCTATATTGTTTTTTGAAGAGAAATACTATGCCACCAG